GACATCCCTCTTGACAGAGAAACCTCCTGCTAGCTCTAAAGCGAAGGGCAAGGCAAGGGCAGAGCCTGTGGACTTGGACAAGACTCTATCCGAGTACCTCAAGGCAAAGAATCTCAAGATGATGAAGTACTATTACAAGCGATGGGAGGACAAGACCATCGAACACGGGCAGTGGATGGAAGCATGTGAACGGGGCGAGGCCTACAAGGCTAAACTCCGCCGTCAGAGCCAGCGTATCCCACCAACGTTTAGCACGCCCACGATGCAGAGCCTGAAACAGGAGGAAGAGCCCAAGAAGCGGAGGATGTCCGCAGGCGAACTCATCCGACCACGACGGATGCGCCGCACGGCGCACTACGAGCAGCCGCTCACGGATGAGGAGCTTGCGCGGCGGTTGAAGGAGGTACAGCGTTCTTCGCGCTCTGCGCTCAGACAGGTTGCTCATGAGTTCTCTCCTACTTTGCACAGAACCACGAAGAAACGAAGATGCGCTGGACAATAGGCACGTTCGTACGCAGTCTGCGCACCCACCTCAAGAGCATCAACACGAAGCGGCGACCGTTAGCGGAGTGGCGGCTATGGCTGGCCGTCAACCCGTTCTTCGACCCGACGGCGATCTGGCTCGAGAAGAAATTCGATGCGGAGTCGTTGGGTGACCTGAGCATCGAGTTAGTCACAGCGTTGCCCGCCGTCCCGACGCCGAAGCCCTTCCCGCGGGGCTCGCCAGGGCTGATTGTATTCGAGCGTACGCCGCTAGAGCGAATAAAAGATGACATTGAGAAGTACGTGTGCCTCCTTTGGAGTGTTGCTCGGTATGCTGATCGCTGCTCCGCATCACAGGCGGCTCCGCGTTCTGGATGACATAGTGCGTCTGCGGGACATAGTGGCCAGTTTACCTCCTGTCGAAGATCGCCGTTTCATTCCGACTCTGATCGTCGTGCATTGGATCGGCAAGGACGAGGCGGACGTGACGGAAGACTTCGCTAAAGAGGTTAGTTAAGTGTTCTGCAGCCTGTATCACTGGGCTCATCTTCGGGTAGGCCAAGAAACACCTGGATAAAGGGACCTTCAAGAGTATGCACATACTCAGTGCTCCGCACATCTCTGGCGGGCTTGATCCTCAGTTCTCCGAATTCCTGAAGTCCGTGACGTTTGATCTGGAGGATCATTTGATGGAGACGGTCAGTTGGAAAGGTGAGCATCGGCACTGGACAGCTTCTTTACGGAGTGCTAATTGGTAATTTAGCGCTGACCAAACGATTTGCGACGCCGTTCACGACCGCGGTATCTGACTGGCTAGATAGCTGCTGGACTGACGACAACTGTAAGCATAAGTATGCATGTGATAGATGGATTGACTGGAGCGTGATTCAACAGTCGACTGGCTACGTTACGAGCATGTAATGGCAGCCATCCGCGATCTCCAGAACGATGTCGTGCGGCTGGTCCTTGCATTGGTGGACAGACCTCATGATATAGAGGTTAAGCCCGTTGCTGACCCAGAGTCATACGTCCATTTTGGCAAAGGTGTGTACTTCGATTTGTACCGTCTAGCATCCATTTGACGAAGTTACAGGGCATATGATGGGTCCGTTCGTAGATGCCCTGGCGAAGCTGGCCATTGAGACTGCGGAACAGGTGCTCACCACGAACGCTTCGGTTCAGTACACTGTCGAGAAAGCGCGGCTTGAACGGACCCTCAGCGACCTAGATGCGGCAGTCCAGACGCATAGCGGGAGATTACGCGAACAGTGGCTCGCTGCCATGTCTGAACGGTCCTCGTCAAAACGGCCTGCAGAAGATGACGAAAGCGTTCTTGGGAGGTACGTTCGAATGAACGAGGATTTTGGCTAATGACTGACGGCATTCTCCTGTATTCATCTAGTTTACCTAGTTCTCACTCCCAAAAGCGCTTGCGGTCCGATAGCGGGTCCAGTGGCGAGGGCATCGTGCCCTTAAACAACGGGATTTCTATGTCTCCATCTCCGAGTATAGCGCCATCCTTGTCTACCGAAGGCGATAAGCCATATGTCAGCGCAGCTATGCTGCGGTCCCTGACGAGGGACGTACTCAGGAAGTATGGCAAGCAACCGCAAGAAAATGGGAGAACATAATGTCGGATTCACTGTTTGACTGATGCCCGTATTGTTATCTTCATTGCTATATCGTTGCTGGATTGCTATGTATCTGCACCAACCACGGACTCTGTGCCGCATGCCAAATATATTCTTCTGACTTCTGGAGACGATGCATGAAAGAGGGAGGCATAAAAGACGCTCGCCGGCTTTATGGTCTGCCACGGAGACTAGGAGACTAAGAGGGAGGAGGCATGGCTGGGTCCGGGGCGCGTCGCGGTGAGTCAGTGCCGCGGCCCGGCGAGGGGAAGGCGCCCAAATGCGTGCCACTGTCGTATCCCGCGTGCGTACATAAAGGCGGCCAGGCCGCATACACCCCGTCTACCACCACGGCGTCCATCGATCCGTTGGACATCGTACCTCACCTTCATCTTACTCTAACTTGAGATGTCTGAGACGTTGACGGACGAAGTGAGAGCTGGCCCCGCTCCGAGCTTGGGGAATATACATGGTACCCGATAATCGCACCCCTCCGAGGGCCTCGTCTCGCTGACCGCAGGATGCAGGCGTGACCTTGCAAGTCGAACCCAGCGGCGATAGTCAAGCAGAATCGTTTACCTTTCTCAAGTCCGTCACCAGAGCAGTCACTATCGGCCGGAAATCTAAGCAAGGACGACCGGCGAGCTTCACACCCATGATCGCACACAACGCCCTGTTTCGATGCCCCGTAGTCAGCCGCAAACACGCAAAGATCACCTTCACGGAGTACGGCAACGTTAGTCCGCCTACCTGTAGCATCTGCTCTACTTTCACTGACTCAGACGCAGGTGTACATCACCGACTTGCATTCCCACCATGGGACGCACATCATCCGGCCGAATGAAATGGTTGCCAAGACGCTTGAGCCGGAAACGGCCACTGTGCTCGCTGACGGGGACGTCCTCATCTTTGGCAAGAGCGTCGGGCGCGACAATGACCTCGTCCTCCCCATCACTGTGCGCGTGAAGCTCCTCTTCGTGCCGCTCTCAGACAATGTGCCACTGCCACCGCCCGAGCGCATATCCTTCTCCCCAGACACCACCCTGTCGGAGAAGTCGCCCGCTCCCGGGACGTCCGGGCGATACGGGATCTACGTATCGTCCGACTCCTCGGCGTCGTCCTCGGACGGAGATTCTGACATCGAAGAGATTCCTCCTCCACCTGGCTTCTCGCCCCGCTTAAGGACCGCGACATCGCAGTCGTCCCAGACGTCCAGTATCAGCGGACGGTTGCAGCTCTTGAGAAACTTATTGCCCGCCGTGCCTTCCAGTTGTGTAGACGAGCCCGCTCCCACTGCGTTCGCACAGTTGCTTGCCACGCCCACGTTGGGCGCCACTGGCGCTGACATCATGCCGGGTGCCTTGGATGCCGACAGCCCTTCTGCAAGCGATTCGTCCTTCGAGCCCGATGTGCAGGAAGACGATGACCATTCCATGAATGAGCCTGCCTTTGAGCCTGCCCAAGCCCAATTCGACGGTTGGCATGGTCTCTACGATCCGCCGAGTCCGAGACCGCAGGGAAATGACTTCGAGGTCTCCAGCATTCCGTCGCTACAGGTCGAGGCGCAGGCCTGTATAGCTCGTATCTTCACGGAGCCCTTCCCTAGCCAGCCAAGTATTCACCCAGTTAACCCACAGGCTACCCCAGTACGTGGCATTGTCGATCTTGTCATCGCTTGCAGGCTTCATTGGCAATTACAGACTGCGCCATCGGCGGTCTCCCTCACCGGTCTCGAGGATCACATGCTGGCTGCCCGCGTTAGTATTGCCCCATTTTTCCCTATTCCTATGCTGTCGAGCATGCTCATTCCTCTCCAGGAGGACATTTCCCTGCTGCGCCAGATTCGCAACACCGACGAGGAGCGTTTCGAGGCGCACGTCTGCGAGGTCAAGGCACGCCTCGCGGCGCTCGACGAGGCGATACACATGCCTGCCGTGCATAACCCTGAGCACGACGCTGCGTTGGTTGACGTTGTTGCGCGTATGAACACCCTGCAGGGAAAGATGTCTGCGCTGGAACACCAGGCTGCGGAAGCCGGGCCCCGCGAAGAGCTTTCAGCCGATCTGAAGGAAATCAAGGCCATGCTAGAGGGTACGTCTTTTTCGCTTCCGTCGCCTGTACTGATACCTACTCGCTGCCAACATACAGAAATCAAGATGATCCGCGAGAACAGCGTGAAGCAGATCGCTTTCGAGCTGGAGGCCGCACAGGCCGCACGCGCCCAAGCGGAGGCTGCGGCGGCAGAGGCTGTCGCTCGTCTGGTCAGTGCATCCCTCATTCACTCACCCGTGGTTGTTCATTTTTCATAGATCTCTAACCCGCTAAAGCGCAAGCGGTCCGAGGAAGACGACTGCGCCGAGGATGAGGCCGGGGGCGCTGCGCGGGTCGTCGCGCCCGTGCCGAAGCGCAGGCGCACCACGCACCGAGTAGCAAAGGTGCTCGTGAGGGCGGCAACGGCGGCGACGGTTGGCGCTGTCGCAGCCTGGACAGCGCTTGCGTTTGCTTGACAGGGTGACTGCTTTTCAACCTGATTGAGGTCTCTTTGGACATTGAGTAACGTGTACTGTACGATGAGGAGTTCTTCGGTTATGTATCAACCAGAGCAGGTTCATTATCACGTACGCCGTGGTGTAAGTATATATAGAAGCACTCCTGTCACTTGTTGTGCACCCCCACATTGTATGGATATGTGTAAAGTGTCTTTCGATTCCAATCTCAGAAATGACATTATTATAGTACTTGACACATAAATCGCAGTGATTTGAATCTTCGGCTTCACTCTGGGCAGGAAACGCTGCGTATGCATAACTTGAATGATAAGGGCAAAAAAGCGAGGTACCGCATGGCGGCTTTCTAAAGGAAGAAAACTGTACCCACCCGACATGATGCATCCGCCGGGAGTCGAACCCGGAGCTAGGCCAACCTCCAGTGGGAAGACCCAATGTTACCGCTACACCACGAATGCGATGAAAGTAACGCTTTGTAATATTTACATTTCCTTTAAATACATCAAACGATGAAATAGCCTGCAAAGTCGATTAAGTACTCGCAGCATCATGGCATCGACCACCTCCGCTCAACCTCAGCAGGTTAATGTGACAGACTTGGATCTCCCACAACTGGCAGATGTGCGGCGCCAACTCGAAGAAGTACGCTCCTGCTCATTCGCCGTCGCTTACATGTACTCATTTCGGTCATAGGAGCTCACTCACCTTACGAACTCCTTCACACAACTAAGGCAGGCGCAGGCAAAGTTCAAGGCATGCACGGACAATGTGAAGCAGGTCACTCCCGAGAGTAAAGGTGCGCGTATTATATGCGTACGCCGTTGAAATTTCGAGGCTGACTCGTGTGTTTAGATAAGACTATCCTTGTCCCCTTGACGAACTCGCTCTACGTCCCAGGGAAGTTGTGCGACACGGAGAATGTGATAGTTGATGTCGGGACGGGCTACTATGTCAAGAAAGTGAGTACGACAGCCATCTGCCTTCTCATGCATATTGAACAAGCTGTCTTGCGCCAGACACGGGCACAAGCGTTAAAGCACTATGAGGCCAAGGTGGACTACATCCGGACGAATTTGGAGGCACTGCAAGACACTATAGCCAAGAAGCAAGACAACATGAATTACCTCATCAATGTTATGCAGATGAAGCTGCAAGAGCAGGGTGCCCCGAAAGGGTCGAAGGGGTGATTGTGATTGTCGGTTGTGGTCAAAATAGCCACCGTCGCAGATTTTATACCGTGTACCATCAGTCGGAGTACTTTCTTCTAGTCAACAATGCTATAGACAGACTTCTATCATCATTACTTAATGCGGGACAGAAAGAATCATATAGGACGCGCGTGGATCATACAGTACAAGGATACCCAAGATACATGTATGCAGGAGATGTGGAAATCATACTGGGCATAGGACCGCCAAACCAACGGATCTGAGCTGTGCTATGAGGGAAGCATACTTAGAGAGTACTCGCCTGCCGAAGCAATGCCAACGATCCACAAACCATACCGGTCAATATCGCTGTGAATGGCGCCGGACTAGCCACCTCCGTGTCTCGAGTCGATCAGAACCATGTCCTGCGTGCGCTGTGTACTTCAGAGCATCGTCCTCCACAAGGAACGATCGTCCAGACCATCATCGCTCGTCTGCGAATTCGCGAAACTGCGTGCCTGCGCGCGGACAACGTCCGTACACCAGGTGGGAAGCCGAGCGATAGCCGAATGCGATGTCTGTAGTCTTCTCGCGCATGTCAGCCCCTAGTCACGACGGTGGACAGATGGCAAGCAGACCTCAGGTAGCATTGGTGACAGTTGGTGCAGCTCATGTGTCTGGCTCGAGCTTCTCGCCCCGGGCAAGGACGCGGACAACTCGACTCGGCTGAGCCACCGCCTCCATCATCGCCATGACCGCAGGTGGCCTTTCCACGAGACCTGTGCTAGCACCGGGACGCACAGTGATAGGACTGCTTCCGCGTTCCCCGTTGTTCCGCAAGTAAGAGTTCCGGCGCCCGCCACGCCGCGCACGTTCTTCCTCGTTAGAGCGCCGCGTCGACTGGGGGGAGCGCCGCCCATCCACGCCAGGGGAGGCGTTGCAGCCGACCCCGTTGGCACCAGATGGAGTGGGGGGCACTTCGAGGACTTCGAGACCTGCCTTGGCAGCCCACATTGCTACCAAGGCGCCAGAAGAGCGCGGCTCGTGCCTGTTCGTCTGAGGGGCGGGTAAGGGGACCGGAGACGCAGACAAGTGGTTGTTGGGAATGAAGACAGCCTCGGACTGCGCCTCCAGAGCCTGAGAGAGCACCGCAAGGACGACGCGGGGCTGCTTACCAGCGCCGTCGGAAGGCTTGCCGGGGCCCGCGTCGACGGGGTTCGCATCGACCTCATCCGCGGCGTGGTCGACCGCCCAGCGGGCACAGCAGATAGTGCGGCGGACCCATTCCGGGGATCCCGTCGGTGGAGCCTGGTTCTCGAAGACTCCCTCCCACAGCACGAATGCATCGTCGCGCTGCACCCGAATCCGCGAGTTTGTCCCGACCTGCGCCTCCAGGATGCGCGATGCGGCACGGGCACGTTGCGCGAGCGAGCTGACGCCTTTCTTGAGTAGGTCAAGTGTGTTGAGAGCCTCGAGCGGCACGATAACGATCTCCTCGCGCCCTTCCCGGCACCATTTCTTTACCTGGTGAATCGCATGGACAAGTACACTCGCGTCGACGACGACGATGTCTGCGTCCTTCTCCGCCTTCCCATGACCCCGCCTGCCCTTCTCCTCGCCCTCTGTCTCCGTGCTCTCCCCGTCCCACTTCCGCACCGGCTTGGCGGGGCCGCCGCGGGGACGCTTCCCAACAATGGGAATGTGGCGGTCGACGTGGTTTGGAGTGCGCCGGTCACGCCAGCTAGCACCCCCGGATCCGACATCAGAGACAGTCTTCTCCAGTTGCTGGACTTGATGACTGAGGAACGCTGCACCGAGAGCGCGGGACATGGCCATCTTGTTCGAAGCAATCGTTGGGCCCTGTAAGCCTGGTAAGTACACTTACAGTATATTGAGCTAGGAAGATTCACCTTGACATCTGCCATGTTCAAGAATGTATAGCTGGCTGGTGGGAGTACAAGTACAGGATGTGGGCGGTTGGCCCAAGCGAGGGTGGCTGACTGCGCCTCACATATGACTAAGCATCAAGTGTGGACCCACAAACCTGCTTATGGTAAACGTTCCTTAATCGGCTCTCGGGTGGCGAGAGCATTCTTATCCGTTCTTATCCCTTCGCGTTTCGTAGCAACGAGGCCACTGCGTCCTTGTCTGTTGCCTGGTGACGGTGGTGTTCTTCAGCGTGCGCATACGAATGTACATACTACATTGATGTGCTGGCCCTTCGAACTTGGGGCCAAGATATCCTGCCAGCATTGCTCTCCTCTCACTTCGCTTCGGACGACTCCCTGGCGGGTATACGGAAATCGACACCGCAAACCAACGCGAATGGCCTGATTTTTTGGGATGGCCCCGGGCGGTAAGTCTCTTGGCGGCTCGTCAGATATTAACGCCATGCTACGGTTTGGAACAATCCCCGTGCAGTACAATTCTTGAAGTCAGGCTGGTCGCAAGGGATAGGGCTGTCACCGCGGGCAAAGCAAGTTTGATGGTCTTCCGACATGCTACGGAATTCGGTTCAGGGAACCATCTCGGGAAACTTTCGGAGACACAACATATTGAGGTAAAGACAGAGAGTTCGGACCTCCAGCCATTTGATATCTTCGACCGAATTCGGTGTTTGGATTCAGAGTGGACGAATGTTCGGCATGTGCTCGACAATAATAAAACATCGATTTCCCGCGGTGCACTTGCATGATGAGATGCAGCTTTACTTCAAGAAGTCGGACTCGGAGAAGGATACAGACCAAGACCGTCCGAGGGTCTCGTCCTTTGGTCTGCGCGTGGATAGGATGTCCCTGAGGAACATGTCCATGTCATACTCGGTCGAGAAGTAGTTCAGGTCAATGAGGGGCTCGCCGAGTGGATCGCTAGATGCGAGCCGCACAGTTCCGGTAGACGTGGGGCGGACCGGTGTGCACAAGAAGCTGCAGCTAATATGTCCCGCCATGCGATCTGTGTGCATGATGGTGAGTTGTACACTCTGCATCACGCTAGTGACCTGGAGGGATGACTTCGATGTCAGGGTTGTTTGCCGACAACGACGTGTCTTCGTCGGCCCTGCTCGGCATCACAATGTGAAATCTCTCGTCGAACAAGCGCGATTGCAGGAGGATGACAACTCTAGCACTGGAGCGAGTAGCAGCCCTGTGCCGAAGAGAATATACAGGAACAACTCTTTAGAATTGGGCCAGGGTGCAGCTGGAGCTGTATGACGAAGTCTCGCAGTGGCACCTGGTATTGCACTGCGACGCCCAAGTGGTCCTGCTAATTGCGAATAATGGTTCGTCGGCTGTCAGCGATAGACGAAGCGAATATAGGTGCGTACTAAATGCGATCCGACACCCAGTAGGTCTTCCATGTCGGATATTCCGTATCCGTGTAGGTGGAGTGCAAACTCAATGCCGCTGGTGTGCATCGAGTTAAGCATGTGCGATGCAGATACAGCTGATACGCGTTACCTCAACACAAGAGCCTGGGGAGACGATGCCGGTCCGGATGCCAGTATGATTTCTCTCCATGCATTCACGAACCGTCTGGCTGATCGGCCAGCTGCAAATTGCACATACACACCCGTGGCTATCCCATGTCCGCTCCCCGGGCCGGTGGTCTCGTCCTCAATTCTTCAAACCGCTGCACGTACACATATCTGATCGTTGCGTTTGGGCACCAGCTGTTCGCGCAAGAAAGCCGAGAAAGTCGATACCCGCAGCTGCCGGCTGTGAAGCGCATTTTCGCGCAGCCGTGCGAGGGATGCAGAGGAGAATTCGGATCTTCTACGTAAGGTATCCCCATTGCCTCTGATGCTTGAACAATTCTGTGGTATTTAGCAGCCTTGCCATCAACTGCTGTACTCGCTTTCACACATTTATTCACAGTTCACTCACTGGTCGGTATGCCTCGGTATACCTCCAGACGAACTGTTTGTACGATCTGTTCTGTAATTCTCCTGTGATTGATTTTAACCGGTAGGGGTGCGACATCGCAGATAGGTCTCAGGACCTGCAATACCGTGGAAAACAGGTGCGCCACGTTGCTTGTGGGTACCGCACGATCATTCGACTATCTCGTACATAACAGACAGTGACACCGATCCCGACGTCGACGCGTTCATCAGGCGATTGTGCAAGACATCCTGTCATTACTCGTCGACGTGCCGGATGGCTCCCGAGAGGGATGGCGGCGTCCTCTACGACCACTCAATGGTGCACGCCGGCGTGTTGGGGCTGGGCCTGGCGGACTCCACTGGCAGTGCATTCCCGCATACTATTCTGAGCACGCGTCTCGCCGCGGCGACCATGGTGCTCGCTGAG